GATGTTGGCCACATCTGTCGTTATGAAAAATTTCATTTCAACCATTTTCTATTAAAGGCATTTAGAAATTGTTTTGAAAAGTTTAGCAAAGTGGGGGAATCTTTCCTCCTAAGAATAAAACAAAGAAGGGCCAAGCTATTTCCTGTGCCTTGGAGTCGGTACATAATATACAACAGATGAATGTATACAGCTAGTTGGGACTACTGGTTTTGCAGATTGTCACGAAATTTGTGTATCAGCATAGGTGTTCTCACCTTCTTTTGGAGGTTAAGATTACAGTGAATACCTTGCCACCAAGGGCTTTATTTAGTGAAGACCTAAAGCTTGGGATTTGAACCTGTCACCTTAATTTGAATAATTCTTTCATGGATTGAATGCCTATCAAATCGGCAGAAAAAAGACAATTTGTAGGCAGGACAGGTATCCTCCAATTACTCCCTATACTGCTGTTACAGGATCTAAGTAATGCTTATTTCAGGTCTCTTGCTTCCAGTTTCTAATGTGCAATTTACCAGTTGGTGAATGGGTTTTTTGTCCCTGTAACTAATTGAACTAATGAGAACAACTGGCACCTAATTTTGTTACAAATAATATTTAAAATGACAACATGAAATTGTTCATAGTGTCTGAAATAATATCATTTTCAGTCTGGTGTATTAGGATTGTATAGGGAAATGGACACCTATGGTTCTGTGACATCATACATTTCTATATCTCTGAATCTATTCAGAAAAATTTATATATCTCTATATCTATATCTCTGAATCTCTTCAGAAAAATTGCCTGAATCATGGCACCTAAATGCTGATTTTCAGATCTAAAATGCTGTGGATGTGTGGATTTGTTTTGTTTTTCTTTTTTTTAATAATGTGAATGATTTTTCAATGCACAGGACTTTATATAAAGCTGGGCTTTGGGGTATGCCTCAGAAAAGTCGCAAAGAGAGAAAGTCCCTTATATCAAAGAGAATGTATAAACTGATTCCTTAAATAATCCCATTCCATTTTGTGCTACAATGCAGGGAAATGGGAAAAATAAGCATGCATAGAGTTATTAGACTGGAATAATTTAAAGTTTTGCTTTATTTTTCCCCCACAAATGCTTTTCACACATTTAAGACCTGAGATTTCAGTATTTGCTGAATTTATCATAAAGTTCAAAGTCAAAATATTATGCCAGTAAAGAATCTTTCTCAGGGCATTTTCATATATCACACATTATTTGCAACAAGTAAATATTGCATTTACTCGAATAGAAGACGATCCTGTTCATAAAACGACTCCCCCAATAATTAGATTCTATGTATGGAAAATATATACATTTGTTATAATTTTCCGGGTATAGAATCTAATTATTGAAGGTTTGTCTTGAATTTGGAGGAGTTGCCTTACCATCTCCCACTGTGACAGCAAGGAAAATAAATCCTGCAGAGCCAGGTAGCCTTTTGCTTTCTGCATCCCCCCAACTTCTTCCTTTAGCAGCCCCTTTCCCCTCTCCTAACTGTCTGACCCTGCTCTTCCTGAGCACATGGAGGTGAGGAGCAAATTTGAAAACAGTGACCTACTAAACACGGCTGTAGCACGTTGCATGTAGTAGCCGTGGACTTAGTTTATCCCAAATCGATTCATGTTACCTTTCTTTGAAACTGCTGCAAGTTTTAGCACAGGTACTCCATAAACACACTTTTGAGCAGCACTGTGGTATGTACTTATATGGAGTAAAAGACAGTGCATGATATTAATCCAAAGCCAAAGATTTACCACATAGTTCATTGACCTGGGCCCCATCAGCGTCAACAGCATTTCAAGCCACGGTGACTCCACAGCTCAGCACTGCTCAGTATGTGTGTGTACTCCAGATACCCTCTCCCCAAAGGATCCAAGTGCTAATTAGTTCCCACTCATGACTGGAACAGATTGTTCTTGTCACAAGTCCTGGGATCCTCCAAAAATGTATATGCAGATGACATGCAGGGCAAACTGGTCTGGCTTTCACCTCATGGAGGGTGGGGCCACACTAATCATGTGTGACAGGTTGAGAGAAGGGCTGACAGGGATTCTGGGTGAATGTCGTGGCTCACTATGACTTGAAAAAGAGTCAGCAGTGATGGGTACTGTTCTCACCGGGCACTACCATATGTTTTATTCAGATGGGCACTACCATATGTTTTACGTGGTGGGTTCCCATCAGCATTTTGGGACCAAGAGAGGGTATTGGAGCTTTCTCTGGTCTCTCCAAGTGCCAGCCTGGTATTGCAGTTCCTCCAGGCCCAGTGCTTGTTCCCTCCTCAGGGAACAAATGCCTGCTTTTTTTAAGGTCTGCTCAGAAAAAGAAAAAGAGAAAAGGTTCCTGTCAGCATGTTTGCCCAATGTGGCCATGTGTTTTATAGTCATGCTCAGTATTGGCTGCGTATAATCAACTTCATAAGTGGTTTCCATTGCTCAGTACATGCTGCCTTAGGCAGCAGTTTAATGATAGATAGTGTATTTAATGCAATTTCTTTGTAGGAGATTATAAGATGAGGGGCTTTTTTCCCAGTACCATTTGGAGGGAAAAAACCTTGTCTTGTATTCAAGTAAATGCAATATTTATTGTATTTGTGAGGCGGGCTCCTGGAAAGGTTAGAACACTGTGTTCTGAAGTTCTTTGGGGTGGCAACAGTTTCAGTATCATCTTTGACTGAAGTGAAAACCCCACTCATATATGGCTTTGTAAGAGGAAAGGTGGGATGCCATTAAAAATTACAGCCTAAATCAGTGGTCACCAACCAGTGGATCTCGATCCACTGGTAGATCTCTGAGCCTCTTGGAGTCGATCCGAAGCTGGGGTGGGAGGCTGAGTACCCACATGCATGCATGCACGTGCCGCAGCCCAGCAGGTCAGTCTGTGGGGGAGGGGGAAAGGATGGGGATTAGATTGAGACCCCCACAGTGAGGGACAGTGCCGCAGAGGCGGGAGCAGGGGTAAGTTGAGTGGGACCCCGGCTTGGTGGGACTTACCTGCTGGGAGGTGCACCCCCCAAATATTTTTTCTCCCTCTGCCTTGATTTGCCCCCCCCCCCCCATTTACTGCTTGG